AGCAAAGATGAAAAGGAGTGGTAATAAAGCATCTCCTTGTTTTAGACCATTCTGGATAGGAAATGTATCAGACAACTGTTTACCTATATGGACTTTAATACACATTTCATTTAAACACATTTTAATCAGCCTAACTAGTTTCCTGGGTATCCCAAACTCTATGAGTATATTGTACAATACTTTCTTGAAGTCTACAAATAGCTGATGTAGTGTCTCATTGTACTCCCATTTTTTCTCAAATATCTGATGAATGCAAAAGATCTGATCTGTAGTTGATCTGTGACATCGAAACCCACACTGATGATCCCCAGTAATTTCATCTATATATGGACTTAACCTTGAGAGAAGAATATTGGATAAAATGTTGTAGGAAGTTGACAGCAGTGATATCACCCGATAATTACTACAGTCAGTTTTATCACCATTCTTGTGAACTGGTACAATAATGGACTCCTTTGGTCCAGAATAAGTAAGTAGAATAAAGTCCATAATTATTAAGTTTATGAAGAAAGAATGCATGCAGAATGTATTGAAAGTGTTACTGAAATCAAAATAAATAGAGTCAATTTGACTCTGCGGGCAAAGTGAAGTGGTAACAAAGTCAAAGAAAATGACTATGTAATCCTCAATTCTGGGTAGAGTTTTAACTTAGATCAGAAAAGTAAGAAACATGGTCATGTAGGATAACAAAAACTGAGAAAAAGTCTGTAGAATAGCTATGAACCTATAGTTACCAACAGAGGAACTTCTGCCCTTTTTTATAACTGCTTGCCAGATCAATGAAGCCAGAACAGACGTTCATTACTAGGCAACAATTTGGTAAACAGGTTCCCATGGAATGAACACGGACACAATATAACTACCATTTCTATGCAGCAGTGTGGTAAACATATGTCTCCAACAACAGAGGAATTGTTAGGAAGCAGTGTTTTCTGTTGGGGCCGCCCTGAGGCTATATAAAGAGGCTCTCAGGCAGCTCCTGCAAGTTGTAGGAGGCGACAAAAAGGGAAGTCTCAAATCTGAGACAGTAAATATGGTCACAATTCCCAAGGGACTCAGACCCAAGAAAGACTGCACTGGCAAGGGCCAGCAACATATACAAGACATACCCGTCCTCTCATCAGTGAGTGCACCCCACAAAAACAAGACCGTAACTGTCAAACTGTAATAAATATCTGGTCACGAACCCCATCTCACTTACTGATGGACTGACCGTCAGTCGCAATGTGACTTTGACTGAGAGAAGAATTGAGGGAGTCTTTTGAGACAGCAATCAAAGATAACCGAGAAGAAGTGGCAACAAGTCAGTTAAATTTCGAGACGCCAGCCTGCCAGGATATGAGTTTGGGAGCAGAGGAATTGAATTGAGGACTTTAGTGTAGTAAAGTGGTGCTGAAAGTCTGGTTGTGAAGAGCCAACTTTATGTGTGCTACAGTACCATGATATATGGAGTGTGTAACTCAGGGTGACTGTTATAGCTCCTGTGTTATAATCCGTCACCAGGAAACAGATAGTGGAGACTATAATAGACTGAAGACACTAGTGTCTGCAGCAATGGACTGTAAAATGTGTATATCAGCAGCAGTGCTGTATTTACCAGTAGTTCTGAATGGTGTGTATAAGGTGTCAATAAATCCAATCATCTAAACTATACCCCACCTAATACCCGTACCCCTAGATATAATTTGGGACAGTCACACAACAAATGATCAGAACGAAACAAAATAGACACTACTCTGTCAACATTTGTTTCATCTGTGTTTGGTTGTATTGCTACATGTTTCAACCCTTTTCCTGCATCACCTTCAAGCATACATTAATACTATTAAGTTTTGAATTGCATCTTTAATCAGTATGAATACATATTGTGTCTGTATGCATATTCTATACTGATAATTACATCTCATTTTAAAATTTGATTAAAATATAGTTAAAACCATTAAACTTGATATTAAATGGATAAAAGTTAAAATTAAAATTATAATTTAAAATGGCTATTGAGGTATTTATAGCCAATATTACAAATTCTACTTAAGACCTGTACTTGATACATATCATATGTGTATTGTTTCTTGTTCCACTGTGGTAATGATATTGTGCGGTGGGGTGTCTGCTTGCTGGGAGCTTTCTTCAGAATATAGATCATGTTGGGTTTTTTTTGACCTTCCATTTAAACATGTGGAGGCTGAACACAATGTTTGGGTATCGCATTCAGGTTGTTTACACATGGATTGGGATGTTCAAATTTGATATTACACATATATGCTGATCCCCATGGTGAATGTTATTGCTGTGCTATAGCTGTTCTGGAACATGTAGTGATACCACCAAAACCAATTAAAAACAAATGTTGACTCAGTAGTGTCTTATTATATTAAAGGTAAAGTTGTCCTTGTGCTTAACTAATTAAGTACTATGCCATGAAGGTGTATGGGAAAGTGGATGTGTAGATGCACATTTTCTTGACCTTAGTACTAGCTGGAATTGAGTGGTCAGCTTTGCACCCCTGCCACTTTATCCCCAGGGAAAGGGCCCCAGGTACCCATCGGATAGGAGGTTGGGTGGACCCCAGAGGCGGTATGAACGATTTGGAGAAGAGAAAATTCTTGACTCTGCTGGGACTCCAACTCAGCCCCTCTGTCTTCCAGCCTGTAGCCAGCTGCTATACAGACTACACTACCCTGGCTCCTATTATATTATTTACTGTTATATCTTCTCTCTTGGCATAGTTAATCATCAGTCCAGCCTTCATTGACTCTCTACACAATTCATTGAGTTTTGATTGCATATTGTCATATCTGTATGAAAGAAGACATATGTCATCAGCATACTGAAGGTCTTCTAGTGAGTTCAACCATTTCTACATATTCTAACAAAGGCTGAGATTAAAAATAAACATGAAAAGAAGTACAAAAATTTTAGAACCAAAACTTGGTTATTGTAATGGTAGAAATGAAGGCACTCAAAACTTGTAATATGCTAACCACCAGCTGGGAAAATTGAGCTGACTGGTCCCACCTACACAATATCAAGATTCCTGGCCCAACATAATGGGACAACTGTAATCATTATGAACACTTGACATAATTCCACGCACATGTTTAGCAGTGCAACACAAAAACAACAGATAATTATATACAAGTTTAATAAGTCTAAATCTGTTGCAAAATTGCCAATCTTCACTCATATCTTAAAATACTATAACAAATGGGAAGAAATAGCTAGGTTACCCAAAAAGTAATGCAATTTTTTTTTTTCAGATTTACAATTTATTTAAGTAAAACTTCAAACGTTACATTGCTACCTGGTGCTGGAGCAGGTTTTCACCGAGTACTTCGGTTTCCCCTGCCAATCTTCATTCCACCAAATTCTCCATCATCATAACCACCCGGGGCAGTTACAATAGGCCAATCAGTGACCGATGTGCGGAGTGGACCCAGCTGGACTCCACCCCTCACTATGCGAATTAAAAAAACTTTAGGAGTCTCGACATCTCACAGCCCTATGGGCCTCCACGACTTGTTACAGGGACAACCTTGCCTTCTACCTTTACACTTATAACTAACTGTATTTGTGTCAATTATCTTGGAGTGTCACTCCCACCTTACAAGTTCGCACATCTTCCATGTTTTTCTAGTTGTGGGCAATCTAAAAGTATGGTATCACAGTATCCTCTAATGCAAGGGTCTCCAAACTACGGCCCACGATGTGATTTTATCCGGCCCGCGAAAGAATGAAATGTCAGAAATTGTCAGAAATGCATCAATTGAACTAATTTTCCAGTGAGTACTGGTAAAAAAATACTTGCTCATAGATTTCAAATTCATCAATTAAGATTGTGTTTAAAATATATTGATATTCCATAGTATGTTAATATTAATATTATTCACAATTTTACTGATTCTGGACCGTATACTGTGCGGTATTTCTTCGTACTTGTTCGGCCTCGATCGGCAGTGTCAATTCGTGGCAGTGTAGGTAGCGCGAGCAGAATTTCCTTCCACGTTTGCAAATTTAGTCCTTTCTGATCTGAAAGAACAATTTCGGAAGCGATTTGCTGATTTGGATGCCAGTGGTCAGGAAATTAGAGTGTTTCAAAATCCATTTGACTGTGATGCTGCAGATGTCACAAGTCAAATTCAAATGGAAATTATTGAACACCAGGAAAGTTATCATATTAAAGACAAATACAAGGAAGGAAATTTGATCGAATTTTATAAATTTCTGAATTCTGAGCAATTTCCAAATTTAAAGAAATTTGCTTGTAAATTTATCTCCATTTTTATGACTACATATCTGTGTGAACAAATTTTTTCCCAAATGAAGTACACCAACATGATGAGCATTTAAAGTCGCTAATTGTGATTAGCTTTTCAAAATTTGAACCTCAATTTGATCAGATTTTAAGAATGCAAAAAGAGTTCCATCATTCACATTAACTGTTTATTATAATTTGTCATGAAAATATGAGCATTTGCTGCTACTATCTGTTGTCATTAATATACGATAATTTATTCTCACGTACTTTGTATTTAGTTTATGAAATTCTGTGCTTTCAATAAAACTCATATACCTAGAGTTATTAATTTCTCATTTTATCCGACCCGTTGAAAGTGCTGAATTACCTAATGTGGCCCGCGTTTCGAATAGTTTGGAGACCCCTGCTCTAATGGCATAACGTTCATATTATATTTCATTAAAATAGGTCAAGTAGTTTAAAAGTTGAAAGGGAACACACTTACAGCACCATAATCTTGTCAGGCTACTTATTTGTCTATAAGAAAATAAAGTAGGCTGAAAATGGTGCATAAACTTATCTCCATGAAAAGCGGAAATGGAGAGGAAACTTCAAACCCTTCAAACTTCCCTCTGGTAGTCGGGCACAGGGTCGACGTTATTGAGAGGGGCACTTTCACCGATTAAGCGTAATTCGATACTTCCTGGAATTTCGATAGATACGCAGCGTGGATGTTTGATTGTGCTGCAAATTTAGTGTAAGAGTATATAAGATCGAATGAGATTGGTCGGTGATTAGCTGTTTCTATGTATGGGACGTATGGAATGTAAATAAGTTATTTGTATTCATTTATTATCCAGTTCATGGAAGTAATTGAAATGGAGAGCGGTGGTAACGTAGATGAAGACTCAGTCATTGACGCAAATTGGATAGTTGAGGAAGAGAAGTTTAAATCCAAAATCATATGCCACGACATGTATGATTGGCAACATAAGCGGTGAGGAAAATAAAAAACTATATTCTACTCGATACTTCTGCTCCCATAGTTGGTATGTAACATTCGTTTGGATGGAAAGTGCGAGGAACGAGGCATTGTTCTGTTGAGGAACGTAAGGTAATTTATGAATATGTAGCATGGTTTCTGTTACGTAATTTATATCATAAAGTGAACATTGTAATGAAACTTCGAGGTCCATAAAATGTTGGGAAATTCTTGAGCAGTTGAGCGACTTGCAGCTTCTTAGGAAGGACTCGGCTACATGGAATTAGTTAACATCGTAATCCCCAACTATACATTAGCTTATGGTGTAACCTGTGTTTGAGAAAGCGTTAATCTCAAAACAAATTTTTGTTCTCAGAAAGATGGAGCAAGCTGCATCTTGAAAATGTACGTACAAATATTTTACGAAATACACAACAAACACGTGTAGTGGCCATAATTTTCCAGTGTGTTTATTCAAGAAGCACACCACCAGAAAGTACTAGCTTTCTGGACTCCGCCCATCATCTAATATTTTAAAGTAAGACATAACGTTTTGGTACCAGGCTCCACTCTTTCCTGAGATGTGGGTTGTCCAATGAGTGGGATTAACAGATTGGAATTAGCTCTTTCTAACAGGCCAAATGGAATAGGTACCATCACATGAGGACCGAGCATATCTGGTTCATGAAATAGATGTGTAATTTTTTTAAAATTACCAGATGATGGACAGAGTCCAGAAAGCTACAATTAAGTGTAACACACTGTTATTGGAATCCTTTAGAACTACAAGTTCCTTGATAGCCATTTAAATTTGTAAAGTCCTTGAGGTCCAAATTCAAAGGACTGAGGAGAAATGTGGCAGATGGCTGATGATACAGTGGGGCACAGATGATCATGGGAAAAGTTATTCTCTAGTGGTAAACTGTGTGTAAATGAATCCTGAGTTGACACTCACCAGAACATGTTACATTAAAGTGTGCCAAAGAAAGAAATTTGTGGTGTCAGGGAAAGGAATTCACTTTAATATTTCCATATCTATTGTGTCAACTTCATATGTTGTGTGTGGAGACTGTTTATTTTGTTACATCTTGGTCAAGCTGCAAATGTTGATTAAGCTAACTGCTACTTGAAGATTTGTTACAAATGGTAAACAGTCATGAAAGTTCCACACTAGTCTTAAGAGACTAATGCATAAAGTAGTAAGTTACCACAAAGTTGAATGTTTAAATTAATATTTTTCTTGGAATCTCTGTGCACCCTTAACAGATGCATATCCAGAGTGGGTGGTATGGATTTGTCGTTCATCAAGGGAAATGAGAAAGTTGCATGTGCAGCGCTTGTCATATGTGAACTACCAGATTTTGAGGTTGTGTATGAAGATATAAAAATGGTGTCATTAACCATACCATATATACCAGGTATGCCATATGTGAACTTCCAGGCTTTGTGACTGTATGCAGGTGTGGGTTGGTTTGGTTTTGGTTTATAAGATTGGATTGTATGGCATGAAATGGTAGGAAGACTATGTATGATTGGTTAGAAGGAGTTTGGATGGATGTGGTCAAGGTCTAGTCGCAATACTACCACAGAATTTGCCTGGAGGTACTGAGGAAACTCACAAAAAGATACTCAGGGTAGATAAGAGTCCTGACCAAGATTCAAACTAAGCACCTTCTTAGCAGCCTCCGTAGTCTAGAGGTAATGTTCCCACCTCATGACTCGTAGTATGCGGGTTCAGATACCCAGCAGAGGTCGTCGAATTTTTAAGGGCGGAAGAATTCAGTGAACAAGTCCTCCGGGAGGGACTTTAAGCTGTGGGTCCCGTGTTGTAGCTTTACGGCACGTAAAAGAACCTCATATCTCCAAAGGAGGTCACTGAGCCAAATTACGGGCGTTTCCCGCCCAACAGCAGTCTCTAATACCTCCAGTAGATGGGGGAAGCATTATAGATACCTGTCAGCTAGTAGAGCCGGTCTCGCTAGCTGGGCGGGACTGATGGTAAGCACCAGTACCGGTAGGATATAGAGACTGGTAGAAATCATAGAGGGAAGCACAATGGACCAATACGGGTCTAAGTGCATGGGAAAACCCACCCTCTCCAATAACTAACTAACTAACTAACTAACTAAGTACCGTCTTAATATAAGGCAAGAGTGTTACCACTGAGCGAGCCAGTTTGGTTCCTAACTGTTGTATGAAGATGGTGTAAGTAGCCTTGCCTTATGTTAATAATTAATTCGCTTAGTGTGGGGTGGAGTCCAACTGGGTCCACTCGGCACGGCGGCCACTGATTGGCATACTGTAGCCTGCCCCAGCTGATTATGATGATGGAGAATTTGGTGGAATGAAGATTGGCAGGGGAAACCGAAGTACTCGGAGAAAACCTGCCCCAGCGCCACTTTGTCCACCACAAATACCACTTGACCAGACCCGGGATTGAACCCAGGTTGCTGCAGTGAGAAGCCAGCGACTAACCGCCTGAGCTATGATGCGGCCTTGCCTTATTTTACAGCTCCAGCCGCATGTGTTCCCAGTAGTAAAAAGGAAGTTGTGTTGTGCAGTTGTTGGAAATGGGTCTCTCGACAGAGGAAAAAGTATTCATAGTTGAGTATTATTTCTGCTCGTACAGAAGTGGTCGTGAAGGGGGACCGAGTTTGATAAAGGTGACAGAATAATTCCAAGAGAGATTTAATAAGACGGCACCAAGTAACACAGTTGTGCCGTCTCAGCACATGGTATATTAGGCCCCTGTTTCATTGAGGATGAGGAAGGCAATGCTCTTACCATCACTGAAGAACGCTACAGGTACATGGTGAACGGACCATTTCTTCAGGGTTTGAGAAGGTTCTATCATGCAAGGGGCCTTCACATGAATAGACAGTGGTATCAACAGGACGGGAGGACCAGCCATACCTTTCAAGAATCTCTAGCCATGCTGCAGGAAAACTTTCTAGGACGAATCATTTCACATGGTACTGACTTCCCATACCTGTCCCATTCCCCTGATCTTACACCACCCAATGCCTACTTGTGGGAATGTTAAAGGAGACTGTGTTTGACTGTGAACATCCGCCAAGAACTGTACCCCCGATCTTACACCACCTGATGCCTTCTTGTGGGAATGTTAAAGGAGACTGTGTTTGACTGTGAAGATCCGCCAAGAACTGTGTCTGCATTATGCGAGCAAATTGTCTCCTTTTGCAGGAGTCTGCAGCAACCTTTGTTCCAGGATATGTTTGAGAATCTGCGTGAATGATATGAACACTGTCTACAGCAAGGCGGTGCACACATCGAAAACTTACAGTATGCATACTGTGATTTTGGGTGGCGGTGCACTAAAAATGCTCAAACTGTACACCTGTGCATTAAAGGGGGACTGTATGATCATAGTATGAAATAATTTTGTCCAGTTATTGTCTGCAGTGACATCACAGAACATTTTCGTGGAATGATAAAAAGTAATTTTCATGTTTCCAGGTATAAGAATTCTTGTTTTATAATCTAGACTGCACTGTGATTGCAGTTACAGAAATGTAAGAAATTTCCTTCAGAATTAGTGTTCGAAAAGTGGTTTTCAAACCATCTCTCTGCTCAGAAATATTGTGATTTCTGTTATAAAATTTCACATTGAATTTAGATTTGAAACAAAATTTATATTTTTGACTGTAGTTTATAACATTTTTAGTGACTCAATATCTACAGGCGAGTTTGTTTATCACGCAGCCAGGAGTGTGAATATTCTTACCCGCAGTTTCGTATTTCAAGTTGCTATTTGCATGTGGAGAGGTGATTGGAAAGTGACAAGACTAAGATTGTCAGGCAGATATTATTCTCCTGCCTTAAAAATCAGTGTACTTACTTGAAATAACTTAATACTTTTTATTGGTAAATTCAGCCACAACATTCTTTTGCACATTTGAATAGTGGTAGACACTTCAGGGGAGTATGAATGGAACTCAGGCCCCTTGTTTTACATTCCGTCTTATAACAATGTAACTTATTTGCTTACTTATTCAGGTTTGTTATATAAGTGCAGAATTGAAGAGTACTATACTGGTATATAACACCGTGTAGTTTGCAGTGTCGACCAACGTTTCGGAGGAATGTGTTACTTCCACCTTCAGGATTGAATAAGCCAAGCAAGATACCATTGTGAAAGCAGGTGGCAAGCTTTCATGCTGGTATCTTGCTCAGCTTATTTGACCCTGAAACTGGAGACAGTATGTTCCTCCGAAACGTTTGTTGGCTTTCAGCAGACTACATGGCGTCATATCGCAGAAGATAGAACTCTTCATAGCCAATGCTGTGAGAATCCTAAGTCCTATAATTGTAGGTTTTGCAGGTTTCCTTGGTTATCGAGAGGCACCAGCCCTGGTTGAAGCATTCTCAAGACTGTGTGACACTAATCCAAGTCTGGTACCGGAATGTATCCTGGTAGATGGCAATGGGGTTTTACATCCCCGTGGTTATGGTCTTGCTTCACATGTTGGTGAGCTGAAGTTCTCAATTCAGAATGACTTAATACAGTTTTTTTTTATTATTGCTAGTGGGGTGGGACTAAGTCCCTTGTACTGCGGCCACTTCTGGCGTAGGTGAGGATGATTGTGGAGCAATTGGTGGAATGAAGATTGGCAGGGAAACCGAAGTACTCTGAGAGAACCTGCCCCACTGCCACTTTGTCCCCCACAAATCCCACTTGACCAGACCCGAGATTGAACCTGAACCGCCGCGATGGGAAGCCAGCGACTAACTGCTTGAGCTATGGCGTGGTCCTAATACAGTTACTCTAAATGATTCATTCCGTTTCAAAGCACTATATTTTCCAAGGTATTACACATACAAATATGATTGATACATGAAAAGAACCGTAAACTTGCCAAGTTTGCATCGTGATACACCAGTTGGCAGCATGAGTGCAGTGCCTTACAAAATGGTGACAAAGCTGGAAAAAAGTTTCTGTGTGTTAGGGTATGTGAGATATTCGTCTGTTATTGCAGTGTAGCGTGCATTCAGAGCAAAGCACAGAAAAGAACCATGACAGCGATTAAAATTCAAACTTTACCATCTGCAGCTTGTGCAACAACTGAAGCCGGAAGATTGCTGGCGATTGGAATTTTGCGTCAGGAAAATATAGTGTTTTGAAATGGAATGAATCATTTGTAGTAACCCTGTATATGTCACACTTTTAGGTGGTGAGCCTATCATATCAGTACATTAAATTTTCTGATGTGTTTGGCTCAGCCAGCATGCTTTCCTTTTTGCTTATCCACTTGTTGCCCTTCTAATGTTTACCACTCCTCCTTCTGATGACATGATGTGGGGTGACATGCTGACAAATTTTCATGTTTTACATTACCCCTTAGACCCCAAAGTATTTCTGGGGTAGGACTGCTTGCCTGCCATTTCAGTCTGTTGCTTCTCTGACAGTATGGTAGACAGATAACAAATCAATTTGGAAACCTTTCAGTTGTGTTATTTCATAATTTTTCTAAAATATGTTTTGACCATTCATGTTCTACTCAAGTCAAGGAGGGAAGGACCCTTGTTGTTGTTCTGTTAGTTAATGTACATATGTTAATTTAGTTTATTTCCTGGCAAGGAAAGGATTTCTTTGATCTTGATCTTTTCTGGATACAACATAAGAGTACCAATACTTGGCTCGATTAAGGCAACTCAAATTGGTTGTACAAGGATTATTTACTGATTGTAACCCAAGTTGATTTACTGTAGTTTGTATCAGATGGTTGCACAGTCTCACATGCAACATGTCTGTCTATAATACGTATTAATTAATAAACCAAAGCCATGATACAGAAGGATAGCAGTTTTGTCAACTAGAATTTTGAACACCTGATGATGACTATATTGGTCAAAACATGTAGTGAAAAACTTTTAAAAATTTAAAAGTAAAACTTTAAAAAGTGAATAACTTCTAGTAAGTTCTATAGGAAGACATTTTGCACGTGAGACTGTGGACACATTTGATACTGAGCGGTGTGCAGCAGGATGCTACAGTATATTACTGTTTCATGTAATTTTCTTCTGTATTTATTATGTAACTTTATTCTGCTGTTGGCTGAGGATCGTAATAGCACATAGGCTATCCACAGCAGAGGTTATTTTCTTATGTTGTTAATGTATTTAAATAAGGTCAAAGTATATTAATTTTTAGGGCACATGGTAGCGTAGTTGGGTGAAGCACTATGTTACAAGCCAGAAGGTCACGGGTTTGACTCCCGATGAGTTCATTGGATTTTTCAATTGACCTAATCCTTCCAGCTGTACTATGGCCCTGGGGTTGACTCAACCTCCAACCAAAATGATTAAAAGGAATCTTCCTGAGGGGGGTAAAGGGTGGCTGGCTTGTAGGGCTGACAACCTTACTGTCATCTGTGAGCTGACTTTCTAGAAAATGTGGAAGCATCAGTGTCTCACAACCCTATGGTCCTTCACACACTCTTACAGGGATAGCTTTACCTTTTTCTTGTTCATTTGCAGTCCCTGCTCTTCCATACCAGTACCCATTTTGGTAGTTTGTTTTTAATAGGTCATACTATTTAACAGGCCATGTCAGGTGGGTTCCTTGTCATCATGGCATGGCGCGTCCTCAGGTTGTGTATGGAGGGTAGCTACAAATATATTGAATGAGTAGTCATGGACAGCTGATAAGGGGTGGTCCTTCAGCTTGGGATTTGGGCATGGGGCTAACAACTCCTCACCATAAAAAATAAGTTCATTACAAAAATTTGCAAGAAGCCTTGGACCTGGACAGATTCCTTGGATAAACGACCCAAGCAAAAGAAAATGGGTATGAAATTTGGTATTTGGAATGTTAGAAGTATGTATAGGGCAGGTTTGCTTATGACAGTGGCAGAAGAAATCTGAAAATATAGGTTAGATTTAGTGGGAGTACAGGAGGTCAGATGGGGTGGTGGTGACACAGAATCAGCAGGAGCCTATACATTTTTCTATGGAAAAGGGAATGAAAATCATGAATTAGGTACAGTTTTTTTTTGTACCAAAGAGAATCAGATGAGCAATTAAGAGGATAGAGTTCATTACTGACAGGATGATGGAGTCATACGTAATACTAAGAGGTTGCTGGTGTGGTATCATCATTCTGAATGTTCATGCCCAAACAGAAGGTGAAATTGATGATATAAAACACAGGTTCTGTGAAGAACTAGAATATGTATTTGATTAATTTGTGAAGTACTGTATGAAAATTTTGTTAAAGGAGATATTTCCAAATCAGCACTTGGGAATAAGAGTTTGCACGAAGTTAGTAATGTTAATGGAGTTAGAGTAGTAAATTTTGCCACATGAAAAAATCTTACTGTCAAAAGTACCAAGTTCTCACATTGTAACATCCATAAATGTACTTGGACATCTCCTGATGGAAAGATACACAATCAAATAGACCATATTTTGATAGATAGTAGACAGCAGTCAAGTATACTTGACGTCTGATCATTCAGGACAGCAGATTGTGATACTCACCACTTCCTGGCAGTGGGAAAGGTTAAGGAAAAACTTGCAGTGAGTAAGCGAACCATGCACAGAATTCACATGGAGAGGTTTAATCTCAAGAAATAAAATGAGGTAGAGGGTAAGGATCAGTATCATATTAAAATCTCAAATAGGTTAGCTGCCTAGGAAAACTTGGACACTGAGGTGGATGTAAGAAGTATGGGAAACTATTAGAGAGAATACCAAAATTTCTACCAAGGAGAGTCCAGGTTATTATGAACTGAAGACGCATAAGCCATGGTTCGATGAAGGATGCTCAGAATTACTAGACCAAAGAAAACAAGTCAAATTGCAATGGTTGCAGGATCCAAGTGAAATAAATTGGGTTAATCTGAACAATATAAGACATGAAACCAGCAGATATTTCAGGAATAAAAAGAGGGAATAATTGAAAGACAAAATTGTTGAGCTTGCAATGAACAATAAGAACAAGAATATTAGAAACCTGTATACAGGAATAAATGACTTTCAGAGGGGTTACCAACCTAGAAGTAAGTTAGCGAAGGATGAGATTGGTGCTCTGCTTGCAGATTCTCACAATATTTTGATCTGATGGAAAAACTGCTCTGTTACTGAATGTACATAGGATCAGTGATGTTAGGCAGACAAAAATCCATACAGCTGAGCCATTAGTACCTGATCCTAGCCCTTTTGAGGTTGAAATTCCAATTTCAGAATTGAAAAGGTATGAATCGCCCAGGAAGTGATCAAATTCTGGCATACCTTGTTCAAGCAGGAGCGAAATATTATGTTCTAAGATCCCTAAGCTGATTACTTCTATTTGGATTCAGTTCAATTCAATTTATTTTTGTTCATCAGATCTGCATTTGGCGATGGCGCCTCCAGATATAGAACACATCAAAGTCCAAGTTACTATAAAATCAATCCAGAGGACAACATCATAAAGATGTTACAACTTATATACAACCATTGTTTCAATAACTATTGATAGAAGTAAATTTACTGTCATCGTCAACACTATGCTCCACGGTGCCACACAGAAATACAAATCACATCAATATTTCCCCTTTTTACCTTTTTTTTTCCTTACAATTCAAACCCAAAAAGGACAATGTTATAATTAAATACAACATGCATATAACACTTGCATTGGAACTTATTATCATAATAAAATACATATTAACATTGTCTATAATAGATAATAGATCACTGTGGTCGCAGTGCAAGGGCCAAGAAGGCCTACCCCATATACATTCATTCATAATAGAGAAAAAGCACATCTAGAGAATTATAGGTTATCATACAATAAAAGTTTTTAAAAATGACTAGTATTGTTTTAGTAGTGTTTTTTATTTGTCTGTGCTTAACACAATCATCCCTTGTTTTCCATTTATAATACTCATCTAAAGAATAAAAAGAGCCCACCTGCAAGAAGTTTTTAAGGAATATTTGAATTTATTTAAACCAAAGAAAAAAAAACAAAAAAAAAAACCGAACACTGAGTGATAAGTGACAAGTACCAGTGTGTTGCCGGTAGGCAACGGATCAGTTCCTAAATTTAAATCTGCCAACAAAATGAGTCAGCCTGTAATGACAAGCAACAATTATTGTGCTCCGCAAAATGTACAATCGATTCCTTCAACAAGCTATCAGCAGCAACCACAACAACAATATAAACAGAAGCCATATACATACAGGATGACATCAGCTAGTGAAGATGAATCAGACACAGGTACATTAAATGTAAATGAATGGCAACAAGTCAAAAACAACAAAAGATGAAAAATCAATACGAGGCAAACATATATCCCATATCCAGATATAACAATAAGCAATAAATTTAATCCACTGCCAATTGAAGAAAGCGCTAGCCAGGCCAATCCAGAAAACAAAACTCTAAAACCCCCACCAATATTTATATATGGGGTAATAAACTATAATGAAATGGTAAATAAATTTACAGAAATTATTGAAAAAGAGCAATATTCTACTAAAAGT